GAATCTTCTAGCCCTTCTGCAAATGAAAATTCAACAATCGATGAGATTGTGCATGGTAGTTTTCCAGAATTTTCCATTACTACTCCAAAAACAAAAAAAGAAAACGCAGGGCTTTTGAAGAAGTTACTTTTGAAATGCATCCATTTACTAAGAAGTTAAAAATTACCACCTGGAATCAGCTAGACATCTCAGAGCTTAATAAAGCTCCAGACAATTTGAGTATGTCGAAACAGCTGGACGTTACGTGGATGTTATTACATAAGTATAAAATATCGAATGTTCCAATGTGGGTAGGATTTCACAGCAAGATTTTGATTGACGAATCACGAGTTCAAAAAGTTTCATATCTTACTCCAATTAATGAATCTCCCAATTCAAAACAATTCAACTGTTTTGAAAACTCTAAAATTGAGTCAGGATATTGCAAAGGAGTGTCAAGCTCCCTACATCCAGATCACCTATGATCTAGCTATTGCTCGCACTAGTTATTGTATTCAAGTACAAGAATCTCCAAGATTTGATAATATTTTTATTCATTTAGGGGCCTTTCATATTGAATTGGCTTTTTTTAAGGCAGTTGGTACTTTTATTGAAGATTGTGGACTGAGCAATATCATGACTGAATGTGAATTGATCGCTAATGGTTCAGTGCCAGGTTTTATTAGCGGAAAAAATTATAACAGATGTAAACGGTTGCATTCTCTCGTGGCGTTGGCATTGCAACAATTACATTTCGAAGCGTTTTTGGAAAAAAACAATTGACAGTTGACGACTCAGTGTTCGAATATCTTACCACATTTTTTGCTCATGAAGATGTCTCTCCTCAAGTTCAGCATGCAGAAACACAACGTCTCATTCAATCTTATGAAGAATACACAAAAGACACATTAGACGGCAAGCACGGAAGAACGGCGCAATTTTACGCAATGTACATTGATTTTATAAATCTTTACCACTTATTCATTAAAAGTATTAGAGTTGGAGATTTAGAATTGTACATATATACCATTGCGAAAATCGTCAGCTTATTCTTCTATTACAATCAACCAAACTATAGTCGATGGCTAGTGTACTACATAAATTTACTGCAACATGTAGATAACACACATCCAGGCCTCCGATCTGAAATGGCTAAGGGTTCGTTTGGAATCAGAAGAACCAGCAAGCCTTTCTCACGAATTCCTGTGGATTTAACGCTAGAGCAGACGATAAATGGTGATGCTGCTCGTCGTCTTACTGGAATTGTTAACCTCACAAATTCAATTTCTGCTAGACAACGTTGGGCTAAAAATCATGGAGCGCGAACAAGAATCATATCTCATGTGCTTACTCGTGCAGGGCTTGACAGAAACTACCATGATATTGCTGCTGATCTACACCCAGATCGAATGAAAAAACAACGCATCCAAATTGAAGCTTTTTCGAGCAGTGTCCTGCAGACCATCAATCCATTCTCTTCTTCAATTGATAAGGATCTGTTGTTTAACATTTCAACGGGGCAAGCTGCTTCTCTAGAAATTACAAACTGTTTACTAAATACAGTGTCTGGAGGAACATTTCTGCGCGATCAATTCATAATGGAATGTAATTTAAATTCAGACAGGTTTCACCAGCCAGTAAAAAAAAATAAGGTGCTAAGTTTTGCAAGCCTCAAGAAGAAAAAAAAAATGAAAATTGGTGAAAAAGTGCACGAAGTTACATTGCAGCGGGATTTATTCGGACGGTTATTAGCTCTATCTCTTGACACGAGTATAGACTTGGAGAAAGTACTTTGTTTTCCCATAACTCCTATGCCGTTATCACTGTGCCATATAGATGGTTCTTTAAACAAGACTGATAAGTCAGTACTAATTCACGAGTTAGAGAAACAAGTTAAAGATATGGAGCAACCGCCACACCAAGTTGACCTTGTAATTATAGATGGCTTCTTTTTTTTACATACTTTTAAAGAAATGCCCCGTAGTTTTGGAGGTGTGTCAAAGAAAATATTACAATGCCTTGTCAATAACGCTGCAAGTAAAGTTGCCATTGTATTCGATCGCTACTTCACACCCTCTATCAAGGATTATGAGCATTCTGTTCGAGGTAGTGTAGATGACAAGGAATTCCACATTTCCGGTCCTCAACAAACACGAACAGCAGAATTAACGAAATACTTAAAAAATTTAAAGTTTAAAGAAGCTATTGTCAAGTTTTTGATCGATCATTGGGCTGATCAGGAGATGGCAACAATTATCGGTAGTAAGGTAATTTACATAATACATGATTTGTGTTATGAATATTCTGTTACTGATAATAAAGTAACACGCATCATTAATAATGAGTTGTCATGCCCTGATCACGAAGAAGCGGATACGAAGATAGCATTTGTTGCTTGCCAACAAAATGAAGATTCTACCATTACTGTCAGAACTTCTGATACTGATATAGTGGTCATCATGTTAGCAAATATGGAACACCTGCAAGCAAGAGTAGGAGTTTGGATGGATCTTGGAGTTGGCAATGCCCGCCGACGCATCGACGTATCCGCTCTCTACAAAAAATTAGGTTCGAAAATTTCGACGCTTCCAGCTTTGCATGCATTCACTGGTTGCGATTTCAACCCAGCATTGTACCGACGAGGGAAAAAGAAACCTTTACAATTATTAATGAATTCAGAAATTTTCCAAGAAGCATTTGTGGATTTGGGATCAAATGAGCATAATGTGCAGGATTCTTTTAACATTATACAGTCTTTTACTTGCCACTTGTATGGGTTGAAAAAGTTAGACGATGTGAATCAAGCCAGGATTATCATCTTCAATAGGACATACAAAGTAAAAGACAAGTCGCAACCCTTCTCCTTGAGTGTCCGGCATTACGATGCCTGCAACTTGCCACCCTGTGAATCGGAGTTACTCCAGCAAGTGTTACGCACAAAATTCATTGCATGCTTATGGAGTAATGCCCATAATGCAAAAATTACTGATCATTTACCAACGGACTATGGATGGAAAATTGTCGACGAGAAATTTAAAATGAACTGGTTTGCAGGTGACCAATTGCCGAAAGCGTACGAAGATGTAGTCATAACACCTGATATTCTTGATGATACTCCAGAATCGGGTATTTCTTTTCTTCAATAATTGAAAAAACACGTTGTTCATAAAGAAAATATTGTTAAATATTTTAATAACTTTTTGTTACAGATACGCAATCTGAGAATGAAATTGAGCCAGAAGAGGAAGATGATACTACGGATGAAGATGATGATTAATTAATCAATTAATTATAAAACATTAAATTGTTTTAAGCTTTTTTTAAAGTAATTTTTTAATAAATACATGTATTCTACTAAAAAAGCATACACTTATTTATTTGCATGCTATTTCCTGAGCTTTTAATTAATTAAGTTCAATGATTTAAAAAAAATAAAAAAAATTTTGACTTCCCGCTAAGAAAAATTTATTTAAAATTTTAAACAATTCGGGAAGTTATTGGTTTTAACCCGTTTTGCGAAAATCGAGTTTTCATCAGATCTTGACGTTTTAAGGTCATAGGAAGCTTCCCTGACTACCTCCGTGATGTTGTCACTATGTCTGTATGTATGTGTGTGTGACTCGCTTATAACTTTTGAACGACTAAACCGATCGGAATCTACTAAACGGCGTTCTAAATATTTCCCTCAAAATTACATTTCCTGTGAATTTGAACCGATTTGAAATTTTGAGAAATTTTGATATATCTCAAAAAAAATTAAAATTACTTATGTGGATGATAAAACTGCGTCGAATGCCGCCAACCGCGTGAAAATTGCTTGATCCATTCAAAAGTTATTGCGGTTTGTAAATTCCAAAAATAGTGTTCTATGAAACTTCTATCAGACTTTCGAGCTGGTAGAGCTCAAATGCATAGAAATATTATTTCTTTGAACTCGGCGAGCTCAAAATATCAATTTTAAGCGCCCAGGAATGGAATTAGCGGGAAGTTGCAGGGATGGCCCTTTAGGTGAACCGTTTTTCTATTTTTTTTTGTCAGATCAGGCGAATCCCTCTAGATAATCGTCAGATTATGAGACAGTACGTTTAGAACATAAAGATGAACCACATATATCTTAATCTGACGCGCTTGAGTATTTCAAAATTGCGATTTTTTTTTGCAAATTATGAAAATGGCTGTGGGTTTGCGTCCCATCGAAATCGTCAGATTAGTGAATGAGAGCTTTTTTTTGGTGTACTTAACACTCCCTTAGAAAATCTGACGCGCTCGATAATTTTTTTTTTTTTCATTTTCAACCCTTAAATACAACCACCCGCATCATGCAAACGATCAGATTAACATACGTACATTATTAAAAATACGTAGGGCATAGATGCTATCAATATCTGACGCGCTCGAGGATGTCCATGCAACAGTTTTTTTTACATATTTAACTATCTATAGCCGCTTCCCCCACCGATGAAAAGGAATTTATCATATAACATTTTTTTCTTCTTATTATCTAAGCTTTGCATCCCAATAGGTCTCTACGACGCTCGAGTAAATCCCCATTTAGCATCGTGGGCTCCCCTACCAACAGTTTTAGTTGTATAGTACAACTTTGCTTGGCATAACTGAATTTAATTCCAATTTTAAAATAAAGCTTTACACGGCTGCTATATTAAACAGGACTCGGGTTTTTAGTAGTATTGAACATTCGATTTAAGAAGACAGTACACAGGGTTTTTTGTTTAAGTTTTCAAAGTCAAGACTTATCCCTTGTCAAAATCCAATATACGTTTCGCATATGGGACCCTTACAGCGCATTGATGTCTTAATATACAAATTAAAATAAATATTTCGAATAAGTACTAATGTAACTAAATGTAAAATACAATTTTTCACCAGGCACTTTGCTTAATGACCACGACCGCTGTAATAATAAGCAAATTTCAGCCATATTTGGAAATTCTATTTAAGTACTAAGGTTTATATTCCAAACAAAACTTTATAATCCCAATTTTTCTACCAGGTACCATAACTCAGGTGCTCCTAAATCTTGCCGCTAAACGGGCGTGTATGGCAGGCGCACTTCGCATATCCGCTATAGAATGGCGCGTGCGCATTAAAGCTTCCTCTCGACACATCTCGTCTTGTAGTAAACAATTAATTATTTTAGCTACAATTGTCGACGGTGGAACATGGGGATTCCCTGTAAAATAGTAGAAGTTGTAGATACTGTCATATAATAAACAATTTAATCTACAGTTAAGTATTTAGAAATGTAGTCACGTGATAAATGCTGAAAGTAATAAGGGGGAAAGAGGGTTATGCGAACAACGTAACGTGAAATGGCTGCTATTAATAATTAACTATACTATAATATATATAAGACCTTTTATTAAAAATATTGAAGTTGAGTTGTAATTCTGTGAACCACCGACGTCACGACGAATCACTTAACACAGTCATCAGGGTCAACAAAAATATATAAATAGATAAAAGCCAATGAATTAGATAAATTCGCAAATTCAAGTAACAAAATAATATAAAGTAATAAAACATTTACTGTCTTCAATCATTCTTCATTCAAAGTGTAAAAATTGGTTACACTCTTAATCTATTTGAGACTTATTCTATGAATGGGTTAAAACCCTATTTTACAAAGCATTATTACGTTGTACAATGGTTAATCATATTATGATACTTGAAATAAGATTTGTCGATCCGGAAATGTTATTTTCCTTAAGTACTAAGTACAAACAAGGAAATATTAATAAAGGTTATTTATAGAAAATAATCGCAATTCTAAGGACACTAAATAATAAATGTTTTATCATTTAGCTCAGTAAGATTCAGTTTCCAATACATTTTTGACATACGGGAGTCGCTATATCTCGGCGCTAAGTCTAACTTTTAGTAACTTAAGTAAAATAATAGTTAATATGCAGATTATAACGAGTTGAAATTTAAATTCATACAAGCTTTGCTAGGTATTTATGGGGCAGACATAGGGTTGCCCCCGTACTTTATAATAAAGTATTGTACGTTATTTCAGGTAATTGTACTATACACAGAACAATAAACTACACCAAAATACTTTTTCTTGTGTATGTACCAATGTACTTTAATTGCAAAAGAAAGGTGGCAACCCTAGGCAGACATTTCGAAATCCCTGTCATTCTTCTACACCAACCAAAACTAATTAATTATTTTTTAGCCGGAAACAAAATAACTACTAATAAAGTACGAACTCAATATTGGTCGATTGCTTCATTTTTGTTCTTTGTGTAATTTAATTAATATAAAATACTTACTGGACAGCTATTTGGGGCACTTGGTACGGTACATAATTGGATGGTACCGGTTTCATGAACCGACACACTGGCGTGCAATGCTCTGTTAGTAAGTTGTTAGTAGTGTTAGAAAAGCACTATTAATATTATTAGTAAACCACCTCTGTTTGTACGTTATTTAATAATATAAATAAGGCTGGAATTGTTATTGTAGTATAAACCGCGCGATTGAACATTCATACTTAATATTTATTTACTTCAGATTTATAATATATTTAATAGGTGTGTTGCTGGTTTTAGAATAGTACAAAATCAAACAAAAATTCTTCCAACTTTATCAATTCTGTGGTTATTTATTTAGTATCCATAATCAAACAATTGAAGGTAAGCCAAGCAATTCCACACGTTAATAACTATTTAAATTACCATTAATTTATTAATAATATTAAACTAATTAAATTAGTGATATTAAGACTGTTATTTTTCCATTTGTTATAAACATAGATCAACTAACTGACCTGTTAATCCTCTGTAACCAAAAACTCCGCAGTCATGCATCTTCATTGAATGCTGTTCATTTTTTATAAAATCTTCTGTACTTATTCCCTTTAACTGTAAAATGTTAAACAAACATGATGTAAAAGGAAAACTTAGAATGTACACAATTATGGCTTAAATTTCGATAAGAATTACCAAATAATAACTGAATGCAACAATTTCACAAGTGAGTCTTACCACAATATTCTTTTAGATTCTAAAATTAAAACAATATTAATTAATTCCAAATTTTATTTCAGCCCGGAGAGCTGATAATATACTTTTTTGTAAAAAAAAAATATAGAGAAAATATGTAAGAATGCCCTCTTAATTTTATAATCAATTTTAACCTACCTTGGATGGAACCAAAAATCTATCCGGTATTCTTTGTAGTTTTTGCTGTTTTTCACTTGGTCCAAATCCCAATGCCAAGAGAACAGACTCTGCATCTACTTTCCTTGCACCCAAAACATTTAATACAGAACTGCCACTAGAACCACTTCCATCAGACTGAAATTTAATATTTTGATAATTTATATAATTTCTTTTTAACCAACTTTAATTAAAACCAAACTAGGTTAACTATTCAACATGTATTTTTTTGTGTATTTTCTTAGTAAGTAATCCAGTAGCAGTATTAGGATAAAATTAACTCCCAGTTCGGTACTTATGTTGTATTAATTAATTGGCATTATTAAAAAAAATAAGAGAAACATATATGTTTCTTTAACATGATCATTATTCAATTCTTCACAATCATTATCCATGTTATGCCTTATGATGTAAAAGTAACCTCTTGTTGGTTGTATGTGGCACAACATTGATAATAATTATTTATACTTCTTATAAATGGACTAACTTACTTGTAAAGAGTGATCCCGAAGTAAAGGATTTTTCAATCTCGGAATATATCCCTCTGACTGTATAGAATGGTCCCGTTGCAATTTACTTTTATTCTTTAACTGATCATTAAGTACTCCACTTTCTAAAGACTTTCTCTTTAACAACTCCTTTTGCTCTGGTACTTCTAAACTTTTGTCTTCTTGTAAATCATTTTGCGTTTCAATCACAGTATTATCAGTAATTGATTCCTCTGCCTTGTTCTCAGCAGTGTCTGAGTCGTCTTCATCTTTCTTACCATTCAGTGTTGCTTCTTGTGAATTTGCGTCCTCACTAGGCAAGGAATCTAGCCATTGTTGCACAGGGCTACTTCGGCGCATGTCTTCAATAACCCCACTAAGCCAACCACGTACTTTACGTTCTAATAGTGAAGAAACTGTTTCATTAAATGTATCTGAAATTCATGTTTCTTGTATAGAAGTTAAAAAAAAATAGATTTTTGGAGATTGTGAGAATACTTTGAAAATATATTATGAAGTAAAATATATTTCATAGAACAAGGATAATACTAGGAATATTTATCAGAATCTGAATTGTAGACCTTGACTTTTAAATAGAGAAAAGCTCTACAAAAAAGAATCAATGGTAGTATGTGGTTAAACAACTAATTAATCTTGAACCAAGTAGAACATCAACATTAATATATATATATATATGGCAACAATCATAACTATTAACAATTACACCACTTTTACATTACTAGTCCTAGTTACTTAAAGATGCTATAAAAACTCGACAACTTTCTTATGAGTCGTTAAGACTCTTAACTACCAGGGTAATAGGGATTGATGAACTACATTCACTGGACAAACCTTGTTTTGAATCCATCCTCTTAATATAAAAGCTGCATGCAATACAAACAAACGAGGTTCTTAGGACATGCGAACTTTCAGAATGGATAGGTACACAATATAATAATAAACAACATTGTCCTTACCTGTATGTGGGTGTGAAACAAATAGGTAATCAAAAACTACTATGAGATCTAGACGACTTTGTGTAGTTTAGAAATAAAAACTAAATTAACTATAAAAAAATAATGAACTTTATGCAATTAATATCATTTGTTAAGAAATTTATAATTATCGTCGTGGTTGTTGATTTTTTTTCTTTTCATACAATCACAAAGTGAAATTGAACATTACATTAATTTAGAATTTTAGAAGTTAATAAAATAAAATTGATATCAAAATATGTACTAAGTAGTTAAGTACTGTAGTCAGTAGTGATGAAGAAGGCAATTCTAGACGGTAGACACTAGACAGTAGACAGACACAGATATCTAGTAATAGAATATAGATCCGGGGACCGGGATTAACACCATAATGCCAAGTGACAACACTGAACACATTGACACTTTACCTACTTGATCACATTTTATATATTATAGTCCTTTTCATGAAAGAAGTCCCCCAGACGCAGCGCTGTAATCGCGTGACTTAATGTTGCCATTTATGAGTAAAAAATTTACCTATTTTACATTTAGCATATTTCATTAATCAAATAATACTATTTTCTGCATACTTCGATGAAACAATATTTCTGTTATGAAAAAAGTATATTAATATTTACTTATATAAGCGGTGTTCCTAGCGGTTACCTACTTACAGGGATAACATGAGAAAATTGGGTAAAGAAAAGCATTACAATTTTTTATTCTTTTTTATTTTATAGAGTTTTATTGAATAATTGTAACCAGCGGCCATAGAAACATCACTGTCTGAAGAGTGGATGGAAACAGAATCAGATTCTGTTTCAGATTTCAGTATCACTAGCCGTAGATATAATTATTGTTCTTTTTTATATTGATACTATTTCGGATGCGGGCGACTCTTCCCCGGGGTGACAACTTTTTTCGCCGCTGTTATACCTCCATTTGTAATTCTTGTTACAGTTCTTTCTGACACACCTGCAATTAAATAATGAACGATTATAAATAATAGTAACTTTAAGTTTAAAATGCTTATGTACTATGTAATATACGTTTTAATTTCAGTTACCTAGTTTCATTCGTTATGTATTTGTTCAATTTTGTCGCAAAAATGAATTTATATCATAAAAGTCCCATCAATACAGCAAAAAATTATTATGTGACAGGTGTCTAAAAAGTACCTGTTATAGCGGCGATTCTCTCCGAACATTGTTTTGTGGTATTAAAACACCTTGGTTCTTTTGTTCCGCTTCACAGGACTCTTTCATCTTCAATATCATGTCTTGAGCCAACTTTTTACAACTTTTGGCATTGTAAACAATCTTTGAAATACACTAAGCTAGTTAAAAACTCACAAAAATCTACCACAGCAAACGAACTTGATAACATCGACGAACGACTACATGGCCGACCTGTCAAATATAGTTCCAAAAATCTCCGCGGGACTTCTTAAATGAAAAGGACTCTAGACTAGAACAACATTACAGTGATCTGTGATTGCCATCAAAACTGTATATTATAACTCCGAAGATCCTTCCTGTACCCTATCATTATTAGTATCATTTGAAAGCTAATGAAATCCCTTATTTGAAAACGTAGGAAATTGGCCACCACCCCCAATAAAAAAGTAAATTCTGGGAAAATGTGAAACAATGTGTATTCTGATCAAAATTACAAAGAAAAGGAACAATACTAAAATTAAAATAAACAATGACAATCCTTAAAAATTAGTCTTAAAACCTAGTGTTGCCTCCTCTAGCCCTACGACCAGCTTCCAAGCGGTCAGTCATGGACCTGATGAGCGTCACGACGTGTTCCTGGGGAATGTTGTCCCACTCCTTGATGACGGCATCTCGAAGCTCATCGAGAGTGGCAGGAGCTGGATTACGGGCCCGAACTCGCCGTTTCAGCTCGTCCCAGAGGTGCTCGATAGGATTGAGATCGGGGCTACTTGCTGGCCAGTCCATAACCTTGATGCCAACTCGACGTAGGTAGTCCTTGACAATCAAGGCTGTGTGGCACCGGGCGTAGTCGTGCATGAACTCGAAGTTGGCGCCGACAAAACCTACACATGGGACCACATGCTCCTCCAAAATCTCGGTGATATACCGGTGGGCAGTCAATGACCCCTGGCCGCGACCATCTCCAGCTCTGGCGACGCAGACGAGGTTTGTCTTGCCGTCAATAGAAATGCCGCCCTAGATACATGCAGGATCCTCCTCCATACCCGACGGTTTCCACGGTGCAGGCTGGTGTGAAACGTTCCCCTGGTCGCCTGTAGACTCTCTTACGCATGTTGTTAGTGTACAGGCACACTCGGGTTTCGTCGGAGAACAGGACATTCCTCCACTGGTCGAATGTCCACGGCATGTGCGTTTCGTAAAATCGCTTCCTTTTCGTCCGGTGGATGGCAGTCAATGGGGCTCCTGTAGCAGCTCTCCGGGGCAGCAAATTCTTCTCTCACTGCCTTCTTCTGATAGTGGAGACGCTGTCAGCTGTCCTTCGAGTAGCTCAAAGCCGCTGCTGCAGCTCCCCAGCGTCGGAGAAGCGGTTCCGCAAAGACGTCGACACAATGGAGCGATCACCTCTGACGGTAGTGCAGCGACGTCTCCCGGATCCATGTCTCCTGATGTAACCTCCAGTCTCTTGGAACCGTTAGTATACCCGTTGCACTCGAAATCGGCTGCATTTCAGTTGCCGAGCAACTTCAACCTGCCGTAGTCCGATTTGCAGTAGGGCCACCACTTGAGCTGCTTCTTTGCCATGGTATCCAACTTCACTGGGTTTTTTCTTGTAGAAGCTCTTCAGGTGTGACCTCTGTGACGTCTGGAAAACTTTTCGACACGAACTGTCATTTCCATACAAATTTAGTTTTCGACTTTCTACATACACTACTGTTAAGCCATCTTGGCTAGACCCCCAGGGTGGTGCAATTAGTGAGCCTCCAAATGCGTACATCGCCACTTTTTAATCAAAGTGCTGGCGATTTGTGGTTTTTTATTTTCCGTACACAAATGATTATTTTTTTGAAAGCTTATTAATTGAGCTTTTAAATGATACTAATAATGATAGGGTACAGGAAGGATCTTAGAAGTTATAATCGCTTGACACGAATTTTAAGAAAGGTGCGATTTTTTTGACGCCGAGTATATTATGTACTTATATTTTAGTGTGCAATGAGCAATCATAAACTGTTTATTAAAGTGAAACTTTTATTACATCGTCTCAAACTTTTTCTTATGTGTGTTGCATGTCGCGTGACGGTCGGCCGCGGAGTAGGGATAAAGTGAAAGGCGCTCGTCTCGTCATAGCAGCCATGGCCAATATGGCGGCGCCGCTAGTTCGCAGCTTCGCTGACCGTGTCTAAATAATTGTTATTAATATGTGTATTGTAAGTATTATGTATGCCGTACTTTCTAAGACACAGAGTTCAATAAAAATATTAGTTGGAGACTTAGTCTACTTTCATTATTTCCCATTATCATTCCAATTTTCCAAGTATAAAATTAAGATTGATAAAGCGATTTTTAAACCCTTAATGGAGTATTATTCCAAAAAATTTTAGTTAAATGTCTATAATGTGAAAAAAAGTTTCACTTTTACCGTGGTTTCGTTAAACCACACAATCCTTTTTTTGTCTTTCAAATTTCCATAGGCGATAGAAATGTATATTTTCACCCCTCAGCCAGCCATGGTTATTAAGGGTAAGATTCAGATTTACTAAGTCCTATACGTCAAAACGTATTGGATGTAAACATACTGGAGTCATAGTTCGCGCTAAGTCTCATTTCAGAATCTTACACTTAGAACATACCGTCTTGTTTTACTTATATGGGAATACATACGGTACAGTATTAAACTTCGTTTTAGACTTTTCTGAAGAATAATATATGACGGCAGGATGACAATGATTATAATAGGAATTTGGTAACAATGACTACCTAGAGAGCGGTGGAAATGGTAGGTAGTTATATGATTTTATCGTCGTTGATACTACTACGGCGACTATGTGAAATAGTAAAAATAAGTAGCGAGCACAGGTCACTCTGATTTATTTTTATAAATAATTTAATTTAAATAAAACTGTGAAAAATTATATTCTCGTTTCAGTCATCTTATTCAATATATTTTATAGATAATGAAATGAAAGCTGCCAGAAGTCAGCATTGTAAGATTTTTATAAAAATGCTTATTAAACTATAAAACATAATAATTAGTGCTATATCATTATATCGTCTTTTCAATAGTCGTAATCGTTTTATAGTGTATTAGCAAAAATATAAGAAAATGGTGGCAGACTACTACAACTCTGATATTATAGTTTATTTATAGCTAGTTAGTTAGAATAGACATTTATAACATAATGTAGTCATTACTTTCTTCGTCACTTTCATCCAGAATTCTGTGTGGTAGCGAGATCTGCACTTTCATTACCTGCTCGTCCTTCATCAGTTGATTGTTCATCTAGCTATTAGCTCACTAATTATGTCGCTGTATAACGATGGAAGTTGCTCTCTTTGAAAGAAGGTGGGATATTCGTTTTACATTTCAAACAAAAATGATTGATAAAGTGAGACACTATCCAGGCCCCGAGGTAAGTCGCAGTCTTTCCGCCCTTGATTAATCATCTGTGGCTTAAATGATATTACTTCTACTGGCCCTGACAATCTCATTTCAATAGCTAGTGAGTTAGTTTCGCGGGCTCTTAAACAAAATAGTATACGGCATAGTACTTATATAAATAATTTTTCAGCTGTTAAATGAACATGACGTAATAATATTGTCAATAATATTAGTTATTTCACAAGATTTTCTCACGTAGGCCTCTCTATTAGAGACACAGATTATTTAAAAGATTATTTAAATTTTTTTTTAAATATTAACTTAATTTTAAACTAGGTACTTACTTTTTGTCAGTTAAAACATTTTCATTTCAGATTGAATGATTCTATTGTATAGGGATAAAAAAAACAGCATTATAAATAAAGAATATTTATTTTTCTATAAACACTTTATTCCTTTTATATCTTCATTGGCTCACGTCATATAAATCCGAGTCGCATTGGGCTTTCGTCAACGAAGTCGTGTGCATGGATGGAGGAGAGTTAAGCGATCGGACCGCGTGCCGACGCCGAGACGAAGCGCCCAGCGCGTACGGCTCCTTAGCTAAACAATTTGTGCATCGAGGTCAGGTAAAGATTACTTCTCTAAATCACATTTGGACACTAATATACATATTTTATAACTACTTTCAACAAATGTCAATATTGAGCAGTACGAGGAGGGCCGCGGGAACGCGCGGCTCGGAGCCTACGTCACGCAGGCCTATAGGTGCAGTCGCTGGACCGGACTCCGGGAGATTCTTCGCCCGGCAGCACCGCCGCGCGACGCCATTGATCGCGCACTCTCTCTACATCTTGCATCACACGGACCACATTCATTCCTGCAAGTTTCCGCACGTCATCTTCGCTCCAGTCTGGATCTCGCAATAACTCGGCCAATAAATGGGGATATTTTGATACATCTTCTAAACCCTCTGGAGGAGCATCAATGCCATCATAGCCTGCCCCTAGCCCCACATGCTCTACTCCAGCTACTCGACGGACGTGATTTATGTGCGCTACCACATCTTCCACCGTCGCTCTCTCCCCACACGTTATTAATTTGGCATAGAAATTAATCATTACGACACCCCCATTAGCAGCAATCATTCGCAATAGATCATCTGGAACATTGCGGGAAGAGTTGCATATTGCAGCGGCTCCTGAATGTGAAAACACTACAGGTGCTTGAGTAGTTTCCAGTGCATCACGAGCTGTTTCCTCACCAGCATGTGAAAGATCAACTATCATACCGAGGCGATTCATCTCACGCACTACGGCGCGCCCGAACTCTGTGAGTCCACCGGAGGTGCCAGCGGCGCGCGCCCATCGAGTATCACAAGTATGAGTGACAGTGAGATAACGAGCACCCAGTTGATAGAAAGCGCGAAGTACCGCAAGGGAGTCCCCAAGAGCATGTCCCCCTTCTACTCCTATGAGTGAAGCTATTCGTCCATCACGGTGCGCTTCTAATAACTCTGCAGCATCAGTAACTAAAGCGAGATGTGCGGCGTTCATATCCACGATTCTTTTAATTACATCCATCTGCTCTAAGGCTAGCTGGACAGCGTCTTTATCCCGCGCTCCGCAGGGTACATAAGCTGACCAGAACTGTGCACCGACCTGCCCCAACCGCAGCCGTGGAATGTCGGTGTGCGACCAGCGCGAACGAGCCCACGGCTCCAGACTTTCTAAACCGGCACTTAAATTAAAATCTCCTATTTTGTTATGTAAGAATTTTCTAACATTCCACGCCAAATCGTTATGGCCATCGACGAGAGGGAAGTCACGTAGCATTCTCCTCACAGTGGTGAGCCGCTGTTCGGATGTGGCTCGCCCCCCACTGCCAAGAATGAGAGGCAGTGCTAGCGCAGCGCCGAGACCAGCCAACACCACAAGCCCAGCGAGGGCAATTTTCCATCGTGGCCGCCGCGGCGTTGGCTTTTCGTCAGAGCTGCCTGACACGGAAGCTGATAGTGAATCTGGAGCCCAGCGACCACATCGTTCCGCTACATCGGGTATAGAACCAGGAAATGTCATGCCTTCTGGAACTGCCGCCTGAAACAAATAGAAATGAAATATATATAAACTATGCTCCAGGAACCAGGTTAAACCGGTCAACGGCTTGATGCCTGTTTGTATATGTTTTTAAATAAAATTAAAAAAAAACTTTTTAATCTATTCTAAATGCCTTATCGTTTGACTTTCTTTAAAAATACGTTATTACTAAAATGCTGTACCTACCTAAAGAAACCTTCCCTAATCCAGTTCAAACTTCAATTAATAAAACTAACACTTCTAAATCGTAGTATTGTTAAAAATATAAAATAAATTGGAAGTCGCTTAATAATGATTTTAGAAAATACTAGAAATAATCACGACTGTAAACAGAGCAGAATGGATTTTAAATCGTTTGAGCATTAACCCCAATCCAATCAATAATTCTGTTTCAAAAGCAATAAACATTTCCCTAGTTTGGTATCTGTACTACTTAAAATATTTATCTCGACTTTAATAAAATCATCTGTGGCATTAGGTTCTTCTCCAACTTATTTTTAAATCTTGAAAAAAAAGTAAAAGATTAACAAAAGAGTAATAACATTGATTCTAAAAATATCTATCCATTTTAACCTAATATAAATAACAATTACATTTAAGAAAAAGAAAGAAGAAGAAAGAAAATTTAAAATTGTTACTACAAACAAGATTTCTAATAGCAAACGGAAACCACTGAACAATCAGATGTATGAACGTTATTAAATTCAAATTAGACGGGTCGATTGACGTCATTACTATATTTTTGTTTGTAACACGTACCTCTTAAAAATATCCCTACCATATTCCCTATCTTCATTGAGCTACGATCACGTCGCAAACATGCGAAAATTATTCAGTAGACCAAAGTGGTAAAATTAAGGTTCACTGCAGATATCACAAATACTTTATAGCAATTTGACGTTAAATGTTAAACGTTGATAAAAACACTATTGTCTGTAATTTCATGAAAGACAAACTTAAGTAAGTTTTACTAATAGAGCTGTCTAGGTATAATCTCAACCTTTTATGCTAATGATTTGACCGGGATCAGTGTCGTATCGCACTTGAGTGAACATAAAATTATTGTGTATGTAACGTAATATTATGCTATAACTGGAGAGGTATACTAAGTACATAGTTAAATTAATAAGTTGTCATGCTAGCTTAAACGTGTATAGTAATAAGTTTGTTCTACGTCAATAATAATGCCTATGTTGGCTAGTTGAAAAGGCCGATGTGCTTCACCGCATGTTCTAGGTTTCATTCTAGCGCAATGAAAATTTATTTGGAGCGCACAGGTGGAACTATGAAAAGATGCAGAAAGAATCAACGAAACAGATGCAGAAATGTGTTGCGATATTTACTTAAGTACTTAATATATGTACTACATGTAAACACTAGAAATATCTAGATTTGTTTAGCTACGTACCTAAACTTATTTACCGAAATCAAGACAAGGTAAATTTACTACAATATTCACCAACTTAAACTTAACCCTCTCGGGCTCTATTCAATTAACACGTTTCACGAGACCATTATTTAAATGATACGACATACGTCTATTAGAGCAATATGTGCATATTATAATGTAATCCATTTGGCGCTGAGAACAAGGCAATAGAATTCGACTGCTGCATCTGTAGGTTTCAACAGAATGACAATAATTTGCCGCATGTTCAATTATGCAAGGGGAACACATAATATGGGAGGGTTGTAGGGGGGACCTGAATAGCCTCTGACCCATTTACACAGAACTGGCGTGAATGCCTCCCTCTAACCGGGATTTCAAGGGAGTAAACATTGTACAAATATTGTTATTCATTCAAAGTGTTTTAACGGACTATAATTGAACGAATTGAAATATTATTCAAATCCCTTTTATTTTACATTTAGGTTAATTTTGTTTCAGCTTTATACTGCGATTGTTGATGGCCTAAGATGTATCATGTTTATGAAATATGTAAACAAATTCAAATTAACTTTAATTAGAAACTGCATCATTGCGGCGTTGCTTTTAATTCCGTTCTTAGAAAATAACTCTTTGTTGTGTAGTAAAAATCTTTTAATGAGTCCAGCTGTATGTGTATATTACAATGTTCTAGTTTCACTGTGACCTTGGTACATAAAGTTTAGGCCTTCATTTTGAAATGATGTTGTTTTTCAAACATATGTCTATTTGTATTGACTATTTATGTGTTAGATTACCTACCCTTATTGCGGCTGATAAATTCTACGAATTTATATTGGGAAAAAGTGTTTAAAATCTCCAATGTTTATGAACTTTAATTTGACACTAGATTTTTTATGTTTACTTTGAATAAAAGAATTTACTGTGCTAAATTGTGCTGTGTATAATTTCATTATTTTTGTTATATTTGTTCAGAAATCATACTTTATTGTTATAGTAATTATTTTTGTCATGTACCTACCATACAAATTTTGTTGTAGGTAATTCATATTCTCGTTGAATATATATGGCCAAAAGGGATTATATTATCTCGGGAGGAAGATAAAATGAGATTAGTAAGCTTGGACTTCTGTCTCAACATATACATATTTAAAAAATACACAAAAACATATGGAAATAAATTATATTCTTAAAACGAGCATGCAAGTCCTATTTTTACACGAATTTAAATAAATGTCACCACGTTTATCCATCGAGCAGGCATAACTATAGAACCACCTACTTTTCGTCTCAATCGGACATCGGAAAGTGGGTCAAAATCTATCCACAAGATTTAATCACGCTCGGATAAATTTAACTAGCTTATTTAATATTATTAGGAGAGGCAAATAACACATTTATGTCGAGATCTCCGCGTATTTGTTTGTAATGTTATATGAACAGTTATCGTTACAGCGGTAATTGATAAAACAAATATACCAACTATTCCTCAGAGATCTCTATAATGAGAACTGCTTGAAAACAAAACAGCATTGATTAGAAGTCTATACTTTATGATCTATCTCTATATAAAATAAGAGAAACATCATAAGGCCGCACAAGCCCTCTTTTTTCTTTTAAAGTTTTTATTGAAGTTACATATACATTACGGTGTTACGTAAGCCGCTGAAACTGCCAAGGGGGCTAGTTTCGATCGACAAACTTATCGTTGTGAACTGATTTATAAATTTAATTTAAAACATACCTCCTGGATCTAGAAAGAACAAGAGATTACATAACGTGAGGTTCTGAGCCTGACAGCCCTCAATGACTTAGATTTAGATAAAATCAGACCGACAAGCTAGGCAACCCCTTTTATTACCGGAGTGCACAGGTCAACGATTTTTTAAGTGTTTTTAAGTATATTATGCACTCAAAACCTATGCAGTTTAACGTTCGTAAATTATCGTGCAAAAATTTTACATTTCATGTTTTTATTCATGCGAGTCATTATTGTTGAGAATATTACTAATGAAAGTACAACAGCTCCCCAATTAAGCGTAAAAATCTTAACAAAAGCTAGCTTTTGAAAAATATAAGAAACCAATTTTCTAAGTCAAACAATACCCATTAAACAGATTATAAAATTATGCGCATAGAAGTAAAAGTAGTGCGACGGAGGAGGTTACGAAGACCTCATTCAGGATTTTTGTATTTCGTTAAAAGTAATATTAATAACATTATAAACTAGGGTATTTTCATTTTACTCTGTACTTTTAAGCTGTGCTCTGAAACTCATAGGTTTTTCATTCCAGACTTTCTTTATTTTTTGTTAAAAAAGTTAAATCAAACAACGTCTTCCTTTTTTACATGAATAAACGTGTAAACTGAGGCAACAATAGGAGTATCTCAGGATCACAATGTTTTATAAGACGACAGGAACTAGGATCACGGTCTGTGTATTTATACTGTATTTTTTAAAAAGGCTTGGAATTTTCTATGTATTTCACTCTACAGATTATCTACATTTTCATTACAAACATAAAAGGCAACCAAGAAACTCATTCATAGCTAAGGAAGAACTGTCAAAAAAGTATAGCGCAAGAAAAAATTTAAGAAATCAGAATTTTTTCATATAAACACGTTTCATATAAAATCTATATTATAATAATCATATTAAGAAATAATATATTGGTTCCATAAGACTCCTGTCTAATAACGTAATGGTTCTTTACTCTGTTATAAATCTAAAATTCAATTGTATTAAAACAATTATTAAACAACGATTTTTTTTAACTCAACTAAACCTCAACTAAACCGGTTACCCGAAAGTCTTAGAAAATAACCATATACTTGTATCCTAATTGTACGTAGTAATATGTAATTGTGAGTTATGTCATATGATAACAAAAGTATTATAAAGTATTCACAATATTAATAATAATCATAAGTGGTTATAGTTTCATTGAAAAAAATTACTTTTTCTTTTTTAACCCATTAAATATACACATTTCGCTCAATTATTTATAAATTCTATCAAACGTTTAATAACATTCCTAAAAATATACTAAAACTTAATTATAATATAAATAACTTTTAAAACCTATTATATATTCAACTTCAGCATCTTATTGAGGTATATTTTAAATAACCTTTTTGATAGTCAACAACAAGATAGGTAAAACGTAGACACAATAACTGAATTAACATTGAGGTCATTTAATATTGATAATTTTCTCTTTTGTATGTGACGAATACTAATATAAATCTAACACTCAATGTATATTTTTGAAACTTAAAATAATTATGTTTTAATAGGCTATGGGTACATTACAATTTTATGGAATTAAAAGTGCAATACCTTTAATCTATTTTAATTATAATACAATTATCAATCTAATTTAAAAATTTCGTATATTTAATCTTGCTGTAAGAACTACACATACGCTATGCCATGAGCAGTGAACACCCATCACCGTCGTTGTTAGCTTAGACCTAGCCATCCGTGTGCATCATTGTATAGATCGAGCCATGGGCACAGGACCTGATTGTTCTTTCAACCAAGGCCTTTTTAATGAACAATTTATTTTTTCATAATTTTATAATAGACCGTCTATTTTAATCAAGTAAAAACGTTGCAAAGACTATTTATTCTACATTTGATAAATATAGCGTTTACAACAAATTGATTTTAATAAAATCGTTTTTGTGAATAATATTTTAGTATATTATTTGAGATTATTTAACTTATACTACTAATTTAATAACAAAAAAGACTTGCCACTTAATATTAGTTATGGAGTTAATACAAAATAGATATTCCTGGTAAAAAAAATATAACGTAGTCTAGTCTATAGATAGTCGGGTTAACTGAACGTTAAGAGAAAAAATATTACTTACTTTTAGTGTATTCAAAAGATAAAACAGGTTTTCGTACTTCGTCTTATTATCTACATATTCTTTCATGAGATTAATAAACATGAGATATTCTTCGAGCAACACGAGTGGCTAAAATAGGGATTTATTTGTGGCCCGAAGAGGGAGTGATTATGTCGGTATATTTTTTGAAGTGGGACCCTTTTTGGATGACCGCATTTTTTAACTGGGTCAGGTTTCTTTAAAATTAGGTGCCTATCCAACCTTGTGAGCGGTGCTGACAATATGGAAACCGATGTTGAATTTTTTACTTAGGTATTTTCATCAACGTATATTTTTGATGACTGAATTTCAATCATTGCGATTATTTGATAACTATCAAGGCATGTTGATATTGCATGAGACCCTCTGTCGGTCGAGGTATAAATCTACCCCGGGACTTCATATATATATATAAATACACTAAAAATATTTAGCACTTCAATTTATTTATTTTTATAGCGTTTGTTTGAATTTCATTTGAATTATGTAGTTTACGACTATTATATCGTGATTAAAAAACCTAAGAAACGAATTAATTTGTATAATGATCAATTTTCATTACACAACGAGTTGTTAACCTACGCCGGGTTTTTCAAGTAGTTTATAATTACTTACGATAAATTTATGTATTACTAGCTGAGCCGGCAAACATTGTTTTGCCATATATATTATGTCTAGGAATTTTTTTTTTTAGTTCAATAGAAATAACTATCAAAAATAATAAAAATAGGGGTTGAATGTATTTTTGTATGCTGTATCATAAAAAAATAGAAACAAAAGAAATTGTCTAAAAAGTAAAAAATATTGTTTTTGGGGTGGACACTTCTTATCTCTTAGGGGTTTGAACGATAGATAGTAGCCGATTCTAACACTTACTGAATATGCATAAAAAATTCATAAGAATCGGTCGAGCCGTTTCAGAGGAGTATGGGAACGAACATTGTGACACGAGAATTTTATATATTAGATGTATATATGTTATATATATATAACTAATAATAAATCTTTAATGCATGTTTCATGTATCTTTTCATTGCCACGTTATATTTGATTAATTATTTGATAAAATAAGCGTAGCTTTTAGTTGGTGAAAGAAAAATGATTTTTATTTGTGAATGGAATTGGATTAGAATATTTTCTCATTATAATACTATTGTAAATATACTAAACTATATTATTACAAACAAAGGAGCAACGAAACCACAGAGTCAAATAGTTTCCGGTAGAATTATCTAATACGTGTATTTTATTTGTTAAACAGTGAAGCAAGAAACAGAAGTTTGTGAAAGTTCTCCTTTATGTTGGGGAATACTAACGGGATGTCATAAAAGGCGCAGAATATTCAGGCGAAGAATTTTTTATCAAGACGAAGCACCTGCCGTGATTAAGGAAATATCTCTTTACGGAAATGTCTATAATTTACACAATCAAATATTATTCGCATTATGTACCTTTTTTTTATATATCCGAGGTGGAAATGCATTAGCGCATCCCCTGCCCTCAGTTGCAGGGGTATGTGGGACTCGACCCACGCCAAAATCTCTGCTATTCGAAGACTAGATGAGCAATACCCACTACCCACTAAAATCATCTCGAGTAATTCCAACAAAGCCGCGTTACAGAGGCTCCGGTGTCGCTGCCGCTTTCTACCAGGACCTCAACGGCATGTTACACTCAAAAACCTCCAGTGCAGTATACACTACGTAGGGATTCGTCCTAAAGCGTTCCCTCTCCCGTTCTGCTCCTCTCCTTCTGTAGCATAACATGCTCACAGAAGGATACCACTGAAAATGGTCAATTCGTATTGCTACGATGAACCCCGTGTAAAAACTTCAGTAATCTCTTAACATCAGATGATTAGAGCCTCTAGCTCGTTTGGCCGCATTATGTACCTGCAAGAGATCGCTTATACGTAACTTAATATTTATCTTGAAATTGCTTTTGAAGTTAAGTTGTAGGCCAGAAAAAATATCCCAATACTACAATTCAAAACTACAAAAATCTTTACAATTAAATAAAAAAATATGTGTAATTTTTTAATTAAAAAATATTAAAACAATTTATTGTATGTGTTTTATACGGGTATAAAATACGATTTAGAACAGATAAAATATTACGAAATAACAATTTAAATTTTTTAATAAATTGATATTGACAACACTGCATAATTTCGTGCAAATACAAACAACATACAAACTACAACTACTGTTCTGAAATTGTCATTTTCCACGCAAAAGAAAGTCGAATTCACTTGTGAAAAACCTTGCGCACCGGTAAGTTAATTACGCATCTTTAGCCATTTGCAGCGTAGCGTGAAATGATTTCGAGAATTTTCGAAATCGAGTCGGTTTTTGAGAACCAAGAAATTAAATAGTTTAAAGCCATAATCCTGTTTGGCACAATCCTGTCACTTGTAAGATTTACACTACATTTTACGAATTAGCGGTATCCGAAAACCCTAGCCAAATATAAGTTACTTAAAATATGCAGCAAGTACCTTAAACAGATAGCAGTATTGAGGACCTGGTAGTTAATAAATACAGTGAATTTGTCTGTTTCGTAATGGCCTGATTACTCAACAGCTGAATATACTTAACAATGGAATGCAAAGCTATTCAAATTCAGAAATCCGCAAATTGTGCAGTATCAAGACTAACTTCTTTGTTACTATTTTTTAACAATAGTGCTTCCCGAACAAAATATTCTAAAAAGCAAAATCCGTATTTAAAATGTAGAACGTTCAAGTGGATAAGTATGAGAGCTTGAGTATCGGATAAAATGTATAACTATATTTTAGTTTACTTTAGACAAAATAAGTAAGACTATACACGGTGCGAGTAATGCGTTATATCTTCATACTGTGTACACATTTGTTTCTTGTGTTTACCACACATTTTTTTGAATTTGTAAGTAAAAATTTTTTTTTATTATTTTGCTATTAAACCATATTTCAGGTATTTAATCATTTCCAAACACTTTTTAAATCTTCTATAATAATATTCTTTAACCAGTGGCTTTACAATAACAAAATAATTTACCAATAAATAAAAATATTGAGACTGTATTTAAGAATCTTCATTGTACGGAAATAATTCCTGCGCAAGGGACAATTTGCAAAGCATTGTCTGGATGCAGTTAGTTAGATAGTTTAGGATTAGTTAGAAGGCTAGACATACGTTTTTTTTTCATGTTAAATTTATAATAAATAATGGAAAACTCCCAATGTAGTTAATTTGAACGGCAGCTTAAAATTTAGATTAATTTTAATCTAGATATTAGAAATATATTCAACTACTTAGTTAATTATAAAAAACGTTATCTGACGTTTAATAGTATTAATATGAAAATATAATATTGATTTTAAATATATTATTTTTTATATTATACTCGCAGGCAAAATCTGGTTAAGGAAAGAAAGATGGAAAAAGCCGGAGGAGGTCTTTGTCACATCGATACACCAAGATTTTTTTATTAATGTTAATGATATGATAAAAAAAAATTAAACTTTAATAATTAATTTTTATTAATTATATAAAAACACCCCTTATTACTTAGGTGTTTGAAATATAGATAGTAGCCGATTCTCAGTTTCTGAATATGCATAAAAAATTTCATAAGCATCGGTCGAGCCGTTTCGGAGGAGTCTTGTAACCAACATTGTGACACGAAAATTTTATATATATAGAGATATGTATATATTATAATTGTAAATTACCAATTATCACATATTTTATCGGTGAACATTCATACTGCTTTCAAAATTTACCTTTAAACGATAAATCCGAACGATGCAATGTAAATAATTAAGAGGTAATATTTCCGGAGCACTATTTTTAGCATCAAACATGCAAAAATGTACAGAAGAAAAAAGTCGGAACGAACTTTATTGAAAAAGTTATATTATAGAGCTGTCAAACATGCTTTTACAAGTGATCGCCCTTTGATAGGAATCCTATATATTGTGGCTTGAGAGTTTGCCGAAGTACACTCATCTAGAAGATGCCACTAAACACCCTTCGCTTTGTAAAGCCTGATATTGATTGTTTTTCGGATATGTTTCATAACATCGTATCAATTTGATCAACACGTGAAATTAAAATTGGCATCTACGAAAATATTTGTATAAACTATGTTTTAATTGATTAAGCGATGACGACAGATATTGCCGTATTGACAATTTTCAGGTTAAAATCGAGAAAGAGATAAATATATTAGAATATATTATGTAAAAGGTAACATTTTATTTCAATGTTTACTTTCTGAATATAAGGTTAATTCTATTAAAAACTTTGAATTGAAAAAAATGTTGATCTTAGTTACAATCAGGGCAATTTATAGGTTGAACTTCTCCCTATCGCTGGGAAAGAAATCCAATTTATATTTAACCGTTCTTAAAACTTTTATCACGCAAGGACTGATTTGTGTAAAAAAGAAACTTAAGTACAAGAAAAGAGTTTTAATGCTAGATTTTATATCGTACCCATTTGCGTTAGATTAGAATTAGTCCTTTATTCTAAATCTAATATATAACATTCTCGTGCTATATATTATATTTAATATATAACACGAGAAAGTTTGTAATTAAACTCCTCCGAAATGGCTCAAACGATTTACGTGAAATTTTGTGTGCATATCGGTTACGTCTGCGAATCGGACAACATCTATTTTTCATCCCCCTAAAAATTAAGGGTCCACCCATACATTTAGATTTTTAGTTTTTAGACAAAAAAAATTTTTTAAATTTTTTTATGATACAAAAATATATAAAACCCTTAATTTTCACCCCTCTACGACCAACCCCTAGTTTTTACTATAGTAGATAGTTATTTTTATTGAACTAAAAAAATATTTCCTAGAAATAATACGAGTATATATGGCAACACAACGTTTGCCGGGTCAGCTAGTCATTATATATAATGATTGTGGTACAGAAAAAAAAATTGATTGGATCTTTATTGTTTATGTATTTATTGTTGGTTAAGATAAACCAATTTCAGAATAGGTTTCAGCAATTACCACTTTCATATCAATAAAAACCAAAACGCTCGATTACCGGTTAGCGGCTATTTCATCGGTGATTAGTGGTTTGATAATCAAATAGATCTGACTTTAGAAAAAATAACGCTTCGGGTTTTAATTGTATATATATACATAAATAGTTTTACAAAAATAGGAAAATCCAAATACTTTAGAACACTTTCAAATGGTTATTTATGTAACAAGGGTTTCTCTCACTATATTTCCCTAAGGGAAAAATCTAGACCCTTTGTAGTGTTGACTACTCGCTGTTAACTTTGTTTATCGTGTTTAAAAGGTAATAATATTTTTCATTATTTTTCACGTATAAATCTTGCAGAAAGTATTTTTAATAACTTCTATTTATAACGATAACATATAATAAAATAACAAGCCCGTAAAGTATATAAAATATGTAGTTGATTGTAAAAATTACATAATAGTTAAAAATAAATATTTGACTTTCCTTAAATATTAATAAAGCGATGGTGACAGCGCAAAAAAAAAACGAAAAAGATACATAAAAAATCTCAGCATTTACATGAATAAACAGTTACATCCTGAAGAGCTTTCAAAACATGACAGTTTAGGTGATTTCAACAAAGCATCTGCTTTAAAAATTCATGATCTCTTTCCCGTTCATAGAACCCGCCTGAGCACGCGTCTCGTCCGTCAACTGGCTAAGGAAAATGTGCAGAAATGTGTCGCTACGAATGTTACATTTTAACAAAATCTATGATCACTTATTTATGAGAAGTTATAAAAAGTGGTTTGAATAATATAGAATTTTCTTTTTCTCTTGAAACACACAAAAAATTTTGCGTTAAACAAAGAATAATTTTACTCCAAGATTATAAAATATGTATAGAATAAGTATTCACCACCTTCTATCATAATCTTTCTGTTTACTTAATTTGTTTCACTTCTACTCATCTGAAGATGCTTTAGAAACCATTATAGAATTATTTCAATGAGATGATATGCACATAAATACTTATAACTAAAAAATCACTAGTGCTAACGACATGTTAACTAAAGGTATCTACTAAACAGAGCAGCGTAAAGAGGACAACAAAGTGGCGGCGTTACATGCAGAGTGCGAACACGGGCACAAGTATGGGAGACGTACGTGGGCGTGGGGTGAGGTTATCGCGCGGCATATACAGGGGTGAGCAGCCGGCGCCACCTGGTAGTCCATGTAGTTTCCATAGCCCATGTGGTCGCAGGTGCAGGCACAGCTCTCGATATGCCTTCGTAGCTCGAGCTCGATTTCCCAAGGCGGCTCCATGAGCGCGAGCAGGCGGGCGGACGCGCGCCGCGGCGTGCCCGCGCCTCAGAGAGCCCCGGGCCTCGCGCGGGCCGCACCTGCGCGTTGCCACCTGCCTGCGCCCCGCCCCCCGCGCGGCGCCCACCATGCAGCCGCGGCTCAGCGCAGCGGGGTCTCGCATCGCGGCCGGCTCGAGCGGCCCGCTGAGCGGGGAGCCGCAGCTGGGTACGCGAAGGCACGCATAGCGGAGCGACCGACTGTCGGCGGAGGAATGCCGCGGCCGTGAGCCCTCAGCCCGGCCGAGCGCCCGGGCGACCCGGTCGCGCCGGCGCCCAGAGCTCCACGTGACAACCCGCTCCCACCCCTGGCGCGGTGGGTGGCCGACCCTGCAACCAGTGCCGGACAAAATATCTTTCAGATGCACAATCGTTAGCCATCAATCTATGGTATGCAGGTAAAATGCTTCAAGTTTCGTCGGAGGCCTATCGAGGTCAATTATATTATTACGTATCAAGCTGTACAAGCACAAAATTATAAACATTATTCAGTAGTAAATCCTGTCCAAGAAATCGCAGTTGGAAAGGTTAATTAGATATTATATGATTAACGACTTTATTTAAATATGTGCATTAAATAAATACTGAAAATTCACTTTCTGAATTGTCGAACCTGTATCACTTTTAGCGCTATACACTATAGCGCTTTTACTATGGATATACCATATAATTGAATTTTAAATTATATTTTACTGAGCACGGAAGAGTTGTGCACTTAACTTTATATATAAAATGCAAATACTCCATTATCTTCACAAAAATATGTGCCTCTGGGGCGTTGTGCGTTACATTATGCGACTTTTAATATTTGTTAGGAAAATGTCGCAACTTTTCAATATAGATGAATGGGTTTGAATTTTATCTTTAGTACGTTATGTACATTTCAAATTGTTTTAGCTTAGCGTCTATGTATACTTAACTAAATTTAGTTGTTCTGTTGCTCAAGCACAAATATGATATCACTAACAAAGTATAAAAAAACTATATAACAAATAGTTGCATGTAATATATAACAGTCTAAACAAAAAAGTCCCTAAGACATAAAACAATGAAATATTTTTTTCACAGGTAAACGTGAAAGTACATACTCGATGATGCATTGCAGATCAGCCGATGAATACAGTCAAAACAGCTCGGGTGATTTTTACTGTATTCTTCGGCTTAATTTTAATTTAATATTCTAACACTAAATCAAGCCGTGATTAAGTAGTATTATAATCAAGTATCTGATGTCATTAAAATGAATCAAAATAAAAGTACAATAATAAAGTACATAAAAATAAATTCGTAGATATAAATGTAATGTAACAGCTTTAGCATTAAACATTAATTTAAATGAAAGCCTAACGACGATTAAATCGTGTGGATTTTGAAAGTTAAGTGCACTACTGAACTTTGTAGTGCTCTTACCAAATTCTACAGAAATTATATTTGTTTGCGTGTATTTCATTTATAATTAATAATTATGACAGTATGCATGTAATAATCAGAGTACCATGACATATTATCATTAATAATTCAATCATATTTTAGTCTTCGTGATTACCTAATAAATTATGCATACTCCGTATAGTCGCTATTTACATATTTAAATCTGATAATGACAAATAGACTTCATTCTACATTTTTAATTTTGTATTTCTCGCATATAAACGTTTAGAGAGAGGCCTTAGTAGACTTGTACATTGAAAAACAATGAATCATTAATTTAATATAGGTAAATTTACACACCTAAACTTACATATCTAAACATACTTTGCACTATAAAGTATAGGAGCAGACCCATATATAGGCTGACACAGCCTGCGCTTAATAAGCCGCATTAGGGTTTTCCGCGGACCAAGGCACCGGCCAGGATGCGTCTGTATGCAGCTGTCAGAGCATTTGACGCTTTAAAAAAAGATTATTGGACTTAAACGTCCAGAACTATTTCTAAAAAATATCAGGAACAATAGACCTATTGAGTGTGCAACGATTTTTTTTTGTGCTCTGCTGGTAAGTGCTCTCCTAACTTCACTAACACGTGTTGCACAGTGTAGTCCACGCGATTCTTTAGAATATCTGTCTGACCCAGAATATACACGAATGAAATATTGACTAACTGAATATTGATTTTTAACTGAATTACACGTATTAAAAAATCTATTTCTCAAGGAAAACTTGTGGTGTCGATCATTAAATAAAGATTGCTTTGCGCCATATTCTGAATAATATTTTCACAAAGTTTTTATAACATTTGGCATTCGCAAAGCAAGCACCCCGCTTCAAAACTGTCTAGCTTGTAATTTCTGCAAAGCCGCATATAAATTATAGTGTTTGTCTCAAAACGTTGCAAATTGCAAAACACGTCCTTATGCTTCAAAGCTTATTAAAACTATTTATTTAATATTACGTGATGCTTCAGTATGCATAATAATGAGATAATACGGTTATAGTCAATACATCACAGACGACATAATTAGTTCATGTTATTAATTTGTTGTTTGTTTTATACTAGATAGGAGATAAAAAAATATTCATAAAAACTATAAGAGTCTAATTATACTATTTTAACTCAAGGACTCTTTTGTATCGTACTGTCAAATTTTCTTTTTGTTGTGATAAAAAGAAACACATTAGCTAAAGCGGTGTAATTAGAATGATTTGTTTATTATGGGATAATATTTTAGAATTAATAAGACGTAATGTAAGTAACATCAATGAAAGCCTGCTCATTATACAGGGTGTGGCGTAATAAATGAATAATATGGTATCAGGTTGTGGCGGTTCAAAAAATATATTTTTAAGTTACTAAAGTCACTCAGAGATATTTAAAATTCGATAATTAAAAAAATTACAACATTTTTCCACTCTTTTACACTGACGCCACAGCCACACATAAAAAGTTTGTTTTGAAACATTCTATTCATTTTTAAATAACACGGAAAATATAAAAAATAAGTAAAATACTACACCTATAATAATAGGTGGCCAGGCGGCCTTTGTCCGAGACGACAAGTTCAATCGGTTGCAAATATACGTATATCTTTAGGTTGAATTCCTGATTTAAAAATGAAGTAAATTTAATCATAAAAACTTAAACATAAAGAAAAGAAAGAATATAAAGACAGATGTTTCTTTAAAGCTTGTCCATATATAGTTAATTGTAATTAAGGTACCTATATAGGCGTTATTTTAGCAATAAAAGCTTTTTTAAGCTAATGGATCATGGATTATATATGTATGTATTAATTACTTGACATTTCAAAAATGTAAATGGATTAATGGAAACGGGTGGAACTTTTATTTTATTGTACATCTCGTGAAAGTACTTAATACCTTCATCAGTGGCGTAGCTAGGTGATCAAGGGCCCTGGGGCAAATTAAAAAATGGGGCCCCACTGCTATGTAAACTGATTAGGTTTTATCAAATAAAAATATGAAATATACAAATACTTTAAAAATGCTAAGCTACGTACGCTCTTTTTTGTGCAGGGCAGGTAATAAAAGTATCAATAGTAACAACATAAATTACAATTAATACTTGATGAAGGTTTGGCGAATAAAATGAAATACAGAAGATTCAAGGGTTTATTATATAAAGGTCGGGCCTACCAACTGACTAAATAACAATTATATTTAAAAAAAAATCCTAGCTTTAGTTTTTGCAAAAGTATCAATGACTTCGTTTAAATCCAGGCATGGTTTTGTTTTCAATTGCTATCTAATTTACGTTATACTGGGTGCCGCACAAGTACTGGCACTAAAGAAAATTTGTTTATTTTCTATATGACATTTCCTGACATTCTGTTGTTGAAAATTGTGTAGTGAACAAATGAAAAATACACTGAAAATAAACATGGACCGCTTTACTCCCCAAAAACGGGGAATAATCGTGTCAATGTTCTTACGGAATAATTCATCAGTGATAAAAACACAACGTGAATTTCGTCGACGATTTCCCCACCGTCCGGCACCGATTGGTCGCACAATCCGACGCTTTGCCACATGCCTTGAAGCGACTGGCTCAACATTGAATAGACCTAAGTCTGGGAGACCAAGAACAGGCCGTTCAGCTGAAAATTTCGATTCTTTGCGCGAAGATGTAGAAGAGTGTCCAGAAACATCAACGAGGCTACGTGCCACGCAATTGGGCATTTCCAGACGGACCCTGCAGCGTATTTTGGTGAAAGACTTAAAGATTTTCCGTAAGAACATTGACACGATTATTCCACGTTCTTGGGAATTAAAACGGTCCATGTTTATTTTCAGTGTATTTTACATTTTTTCACTACAAAATTTTCAACAACAGAATGACAGGAAATGTCATATAAAAAAATAAACAAATTTTCATTAGTGCCAGTACTTTTGCCACCCAGTACAATGAGCTGTAGCCGAAATCTTTAGATTTGACACGATTTATTGACTTTACCGGGTTACTCATATTGATGTGAGTGGTAAAATCAAATAAAATTGAATCACTATATTGACCAGTACAAAAAAGTTTATTGACATTAGCTTACTTACTCCTGATACAGCATGAATTTTTTAACCGTTCTCAAAAAAAAAATCTTAACTCGAATTCACAATAAAATGCACATCGATGAATAATAAAATGCACATATCACTATCCATCAAATTGGCAACACTGCCAACCTACAGAAAGAATTTAGGGGAATTCCCTAGGCATAACTTTTGAATTTCTCTCAAATTAATGTCTTGATTAAAGTGGGGTTGCAACCTGTCATATTTATTTTGAAAATGGGAGAAATTTCCAAAAGTTCAGAACGATCGAGATTTCTGGTGAGGATTCGAGGGCCCCCTGAGCTTGAGGGCCCCGGGGCACTGCCCCACCTAGCCCCTTGGTAGCTACGCCACTGACCTTCATACATGTATTCTATCACATCATTATATATATAGTATAACTATATACCTATATAAACATATACATAATAGCCTAGTGGTTAACCGTAAGATTCTCAACGCATTCTAACTCCGGCTATGCACATTTTTCTTTCAATGTTCACGCAAGGATTCTGAAAAACATGACATATCATAGACCTAAAAATATTTAAAAAAAAAATATAAATCAATGAAATAGTTGCAGATATCAAAGGCCAGGTTAAATTAGAAATAACTGTTATTATTACTATGCTTTTCAAGATTCCCTAGAAGTAGTATCTATTTTCATTTTCTATTTACTTGAAAGAAAAATTACATAATTTTATATATATTCTTCAACATTTATCTGTTAGGAAATACGAGATTAATAGTGTTAGTATTTAGATAAATTATCTTACAAACCATAAAATTACAATTATAGATACTTATAAAATTAGTTAAGTATTAAAGTCAAGACAAGAAAAAATACTTTATACTTTTTCAAGCACGTTTAATGTAATAATAACAAAATCAACACTTCATCAGCTGACTTGATTAGACAGTTGAATCTATTACATTTCGTCATTAAAAATATCTAATCTATCCAGACGCGCGTTTTCTACATTTTCCTTACGTGTATTGATTGATGATGATTTATATTACAGTGTTTACAAAAACACATCGACACTAATACTGTGAGTGTTGTAAGGTTTTTGCAATTCGTTTACATACAAAGCATGTAACATTGTGCTTGAATATGTTAGTTAAAGTCCCAATATAAGTATTAATACCGCACAAGCTAGCTTTAGCAATAGTATTTACGATTGAGTTTCGATTTTGTTAGTTGAATCGGACTGGAGCAAGGAGGCTGCTGCGTGCGCAGAGGATAACCGACTTAGCTGAGGCCAGTCGGCATGAGACGCGCGCGGAGTGTAACTGGGCCCTTGCGGCGTGCCCACCCCGCCTCGGGGGCCACTTGGAATGTCCAGGTATAACTGCTTACCGCCAAAATTGCCCTACTCTTACCTTAATCAGCTTTTTATAAATTCTCACTTTCCATGCGCGTGCAATTACATGTAGATGTAAAGTAACCTTGTTTAAACAAACTTTACTTTTAATTCAATACAATTCTTTAGTTATAGCTGCTGGACAGTGATTCAACAGTTGGCTGAAAACTTGTTGCGCACGCAGATTTTTCCTATTAATACATTAAGGATGTTGTTTAAAAACAAACATGATCTTAACAAGCCATAAAAGAAACGGAAGCAGCTGTCTGAACTATGTTTATTTACTTGTTTCATAACATAATAAAAACGAAGCGGTTAAAACATATTTAATTATGTTAATTATAAATGTAAAAACTGTATAAACTTGCATGTGCTGCTTAAATTTGATATTTCAATATAAAATTAATGTGTGTGAAGTCAAGGCTATGTTTTGTTTCTATACATATTCAGGTCTCGCGAAAGAATAGTTTTCTTTAGCGCTTTGTGTAGAGCACTCCAAGAAAACGACACCGCGTTATATCACGCCTCTCACATTCACACTACAATGAATCACCGCTCGTAATTTTTGACATGTTACGGATAT